TCTGTTAATAAATGACCCATTCTTTATTAGATTCTTTAAGTTGACACTTGTAGTTGAGATCATTTGGAGATTTATTTTTGTGACATGTCATACTTACAATGACTTTTTGAGCTATATTAATTATTGATTGGTGACATAGTTTTAAAATAAGTAGTTTTTCAACAGGAATCAATACTAACCATGCTAGCAGTTGCCAGTCACTCAAGGCAAATGAGAATTGTTCTTTTCCGGTCTGTCAGGTGTTAAACCTATACGTCAGGAATCCCAATTCAAATCTTTGATTTTTGTTATATTTGACTTTCACTAAGCCTTAATATATGTGATATAAGCTGATTGAGTAAATTTTTGACAAGGCTATTGAAAGTATATAGTAATAAATTATAAAATCAGGTATCATTGGTAAAAATTAGTACATTTCTCTGCCATAACTCTTCAGAAGTGGATTTATAAAATACAAAGTTGTACATGTATTTCTATTTTAAAAAATGTCCTAATGGGATCGTTTTACAAAAAGTTTTAAATATTTCACTTGTTTGCTATTGTTTGTATTTTAGAAGTACTATTATTTACATATCTAAGATATAGTTACATGTCTTAAATAAACAAATGTAAGAGAATTTCATCCTTCATTAGGATTTATAACAATTGCTCAGATATGCAGGATGACCAAGTAAAATTTTATTGATCAAATCTCAAATGACATATCCTTTTTTTTAGATAAAAGAGAAGCTGTATTTTAATTTCTGAATTTTTAATGGGTTTTTAGGGCATTACATATAGGGAAATAAAAGGATTAAAGACAGAATTGAAAAATACATTTATTTTTAATTTTTTTCATAGAAGTACAAAAAAAAATATGTGTTGAACAGAAAATATTTAAGAAAAATCTATGTTTTCTTTTAAGTTTTATGAGTCATATCTAGTACACTGTATAAAACTATAGAGCTATTTTTTTTTTTATAATTTATGTGGTACAAAATACAAATGTTTATAAATAAAATATGTGGGATTTGCATATAAGGTTATGTATCCTGCCCCTCCTTTATGCTGCCATTCATTGTATGGTTTAGCTGCCTATGTAATACACTAATCTTGGATTACTAACCTTATACAATTAATTTATGCTTTAACTTTGATAATTTCCTGTGTAACAAAACTATGCCCAATTTATAAATTCATACTTTTAAATTGATTTTTGATATGTTTCAGACCTGAGAAACATAAGTATGTTAATTGATTTTCAACAGTTTCTGTAAGGGGTTTTAATTCTTTAATCCTTACATGAAGTATAGAACATGGGTATTTATTAGAGATCATTTCTTTGTAGTGGCTAAGTAAACTTTTTTTAGTTTACAAAATCAACTGGTAAAATATTTTTGATAAGGTTTTGTTCCTAGTACATAATAATTTTTTAAATATTTGAAATTTTTATATGGTATGTCACATATGTTTATGTAAACAATTCAAGATAACCGTTATTACAGTCATTTACAAAATTTATAACTTTAAAACAGTTTATAAAACAAAATTGTTGAAAAATGCAATATATATGAACCGCTGAGTTGAAAAAATTTTGAGTTATGATCTATCATGGAATTCCCATGTATAGATGGAATTTAAAGATAATCCCAGACTGTGCCAGACACGATCAGGTCTAAGGTAAACTTTACAGTGACCAACAGACAAAATTAATTCCTAAAATACATATATATAAATGAAATAAGTTGTCATTTTAAACTAGCAGGGGAGGTTACTCATGTGGTTTACGAATTTTATAAGTGATTTTTGTTCCATTCTTTTGTTGTATCATTCAGTATATTTTGTTTGATTTTGTATGAAATTTTCAGCACTTAACGGCATGATTAAATATAAATTAAGAAATTTTATTCTTTTAATAATGGGAAGAAGTTTTGCACACTGTTTCTCAAAATTTTAACTGAAGATTAAGGTTTTTATTTTAAACATTTTAAACTAAGATCTTGTAATGGTGACATTTTTCTTTTTTTTGTTGTATTAATTGGATATTTTTAATAGATTATTATGTGTTATCTCGAAATTTGAACATGGTAAGATCTGAAGTGTTTTATGATAGCAAGACCTGGTTGTCAAGCATCAGTTAGATGCAACATAGTCAGCTTCATGTAAATGCTTGATCAAGCAAGCAGTAAAACTAACTAAAATCAATGGAAACAATTAAAATCATCCTTTTTATCCCAAGTTTGTCAGTTAATTTGTTTGCCAGTAATTTGTGATCAATTAAAGGAAAGGCTTAATTCCTTACCAGTGAATGATTAAAATGTTTGTACTAATGAAATCAATACTTAGTTAGTGAACTCTGCAAGTTTTTACAGGTTTTACACATTGTGAATTTTTCATAATAAATATGTTGTGGTAAATAATAGGTCTGAAGATTTTAAGTTTAAGGTAAATTTTAATATTTTCATATTTAATTATTTTGTATGTTTTTTTAAATTTGAATTAGATTATAAGTTTATAAATGGTTGACCAAATTAAGTTCTCTATACTGCATTACTTCCTTGTAATAGTTCAAAGTGAACAGAAGTTTTAATCAAGTAGACACATAATTATTATTGAAACCTGCAACATTAAAAGCTAATTATAGTTTACTGAAACTTTATAATATCAAAAGAAATATTAATTTTTATGAGGTTAGCTTGACTGATTTGGCAGTTAATTAAGATAGAAAATGAAAAAGATTTCCATGCTCAGTACGTGATCAGACCTTTTCAGTAGATTTGAAAGACATTCAATATATTGGGAAAACAACAGAATAATATAAATTCCCCCGAATGCACATGGAGATGAAAAAAAGTGGCAGCATTAAAAAAGTAGGAGTTTTTTTTTCGTAGATGTGAAACACAAAGAGTTGGGAGTATAACATCTTTTTGAAAATATACCCCTTTTTCCTAACCTGGACATAAATACATATTGAGTTTTTTGGCACCTCTTTATCATCCAACAGGATGCGATCTTTTACAATATGCAATGTTTTATCTTATTTAGGCCTTTGCAATACAATTCAATGCTTCAAATCTGACATCAAACCATTCTGACTTTTCTCAAGCATGTGTAAGGTTAAATTTGGAAGAAAAGTTTCTTGAGAAAATTTTTTAAAGTTTATCTACCAGAAAATCTAGCTGGGTTTATTTCATCATTTTCAACACTTTACCAATTGTACGAATTTAAATTGGTTATGATTTGCTGATTAAGACTTATGTGCCCCACCGATTTTGTGTATTGAATTTGTTTATTGATTGAGTTTAATAACTCTTCTGATTTGATTAGTAACGCCTTTTGAATATCCATTGTTCGTTCGATTTAAATCTTTTGTTTGCATAATTGTTCAGGTGTGCCTGCAGAGTTTATTGTAATTAAAGTTACGGCTAAAAACTACTTTCGTTTCTTAGAGGTCACATTTTAACATTTGATTGGAAATTGCAAGACCAAAGCCATTTCAAGCAATTTAGAACTTGGCATGCCTAAAAGATCAGCTATATTTGGTGGATTTAGATAAATACTTACGGTAGTGCTAAATTTTTACATTTTATTTTATTTATTTTACTATTGAATTATTGAGCAAGATTATTTGAAGTAAGCATATTATACTAAATTTGATATGGTTAATTTTTTGCTCAATTTTGATTTCTTACATGTGAAAATTTTTGACTTGGCTTCTTTAACTTGAACCATAACTTTTAAAGTCAAGTACATTAAATGCATATAGGACAGATGTAAAGCATCCTGCCCTGAAATATTTGTGCATTGAAAATGCTCTAGATTTATGTTCTGTGTTGGTTGCTGTCCAATTGATGTATACAGCATATCCCCCTTTTTTCATTCCAACATGTTTTTGTAAATGTGACAGTACTTTTTCAAGAAGTATATACAGGGAAAAATAAATGATTGAGATGCCAATATCAGTCAGAGTACTGAGGATTTAACATTTCTTTGTTCTAACCATAGTCATATATATATGATAGGGGGTTCAAAAGGAAAAATTAATTTGCTGCATTTTTTATGGAAGAAGGGTCAACATATGATGTCTTTTTTATGTATAACAAGTGAAAAGCTTGTGTTTTGTTGTGTAAGCAATTTCATACCATATCAATTCTGCTTTGTTTAGAAATTTTAGAATTGTCTTAAAAATAAAAAAAAATATAATCATTGATTTAGTAATGTTTGAAACATGATATATTGTGGTTTCCTTTACGTAAGCATATACAAAAATCTATTGCATGTTTACAAGGGGTATTTTGTGTGTATGTATGTGTCTTTGTTTTGTCAGAGAAAGACGTAATTGTTTTGTAATACATACTCAAACTTGGTTATGTTATCACTTGTAGTGAACATTTCATTAGGTTGGTAAAAAAATGGACAGCGAATCCAAAATGGAGAGTTCTTCATCTTTCTATTACAAAAGATCCATAATGGTAGGGCTATTGTTAACTTTTACAAAAGATCTATAATGGTAGAGCTATTGTTACACATTTTTAAGCAGTAATATAAATGCATCATAGATATAGCAGATAAAATGTCTTAAAATATGTTTATATGATTTTATTTTGAATACTTTTTATCAATTAACAAATGCACAAAAGATTTGTATTGTATTTTCTAATGTTCAGACAATTGTTTTATGCTGATATGGATGGTAAAAGTGATTCAATATATTACTCTTATCATTTTAATCCAATAGATTAAGTGAAATGAATATGTATTTGCTACATGGTTTATTGAATTCAGATGCCATTGCTGAAGTATTTTGGTACTTGCATGTATTTCAAAGTATGAAAGTAAACTCTCTGTTACAACAAAATACTGGGAGTTCATTGCATATTGTGTTAATGAAATCATTGACAGCTATATTTGTTACAGAAATCCACAAAACACTGTAATCAGTATAATTAAAAATCATGTACAATTATATATCAAGAAAAAACGTAGCTTTTCACAAGAATATTTTTTTTTTGTCATTACAGCTTGAACAGAACTTGAAAGGAGGAGGAGAAGACTACGGCGAGACACCATCTAAAAATCTTGTCCAGCAGAACATCGAGTTACGGAGGAAACTTGAGGAGGAACATCAAAGTTACAAACGTAAACTCCAGGCGTATCAAGACGGACAACAAAGACAAGCTCAACTTGTACAGAAACTTCAAGCCAAGGTATGAGCTAGGTCTGAAATTTCATAGATATAGTTAGAGCCAAAAGTTTATCTATAAAACCGTTGTTTAGGCCAGGTCTTAGTATGATTGCCCAAACTAAGTAACAAATTGACCTACTGTGGATATTTTTTATCCACCTACGATAGTAGAGGGGCATTATGTTTTTCGGTCTGTTCGTCGGTTTGTTCATTGTCTGTCCGTTCGTCTGTCTGTCCCGCTTCAGGTTTAAGTTTTTGGTCAAGATAGTTTTTGATGAAGTTGAAGTCCAATCAACTTGAAACTTAGTACAGATGTTCCCTATGATCTGATCTTTCTTATTTTAATGCCAAATTAGAGTTTTGACCCCAATTTCATGGTCCACTGAACATAGAAAATGATAGTGCGAGTAGGGCATCCGTATACTATGGACACATTCTTGTTTGTCTTAAAACAATTGTTCCTTTTATAATTCTTATTGCAAAGCCACTTTTACTTTTATATCTTATGGAAATACTTAAAACATTTCAAATTTCAAACATACCAGCTGTAAAGGGAGATAATTTGTGAAATAATGATAGATCCACAAACAGAGAGAAACTATTATACATATAATCAGTGTCGATATGTTTTATTTAAAATAAAAAAAATTGAAATTTAAAATTCAAGTTTTGTATTTTGAATCAGTTTTATCTCCCCATTATTTTGTTTTCCTCAGATTATTGAGCGTCGACCACAGGTGAAATTTTCCTGATATTTTCTTACATTTTATATCAACACATTATACATTATACATACTTATCCATAGAAGTTGCTGCACCTCAAGGAATAGAATAGTTAGCAGTTATATGTCATCCAATTTACACAGTTTTTTCTTTCCTTTAAAATTTTTAAAATGTTAATAATATGATATTTTTAAATGATTCATTTAACATAATGTCAACAAAATTCATGAACTACTTAAACCAACAAATTGCTGACCTTCAGTGTCCTTGACGGTATATAGTATACATGTATTCTTGAAAGTCTTTGTATTTAGCCATTTGGTATGATATTTACTAAAAATTGGACAAGTTCTAAATTAGAAAAAGAAGAAAACAAGAGAATTGTTTATAATTAAATTCTTTTTACAGTTCAGCAATTGAAAAAGGAAATATCTTCATACTTTCTACAGCTAATGTATATCTTTTATTAACTGATACTTGTAAAAGATTACCAGGTTCAAAACTTTGAAACTTAAAAAAACCTGAATAGTTAGTACAATGTATTTCTAAATTTGTTTTGTTAACCAATTTCGATGGTACACATGTTATACAATTGTAAGAATGCATCCAACATGTATGAAGTTTATGTAACAAAATTTCATAATTTTTTGATAAATTGTATTTTAATAGGGTTTCCTTAGTGTAGTTTTTACATTGGCTTTTGAATATAATCAAGTTTATATGACAATTTTTATTTAATTTGACATAGATAGTGCATTTTTCTCAGAGTATCCTTTACATGATATTGATAATTAGCATTTCAAATAGATTTTTATGCAAGGACTCAAAATAAGTAAAATACATAGTGATTTAAATAGTATTGAAAAGTACACAATTCTTTGAATTCAAATGTATAGCATGCACACTATTGTTGTGCAAAACTGCCTGAGTATTGTGTTAAATCTAAATTTCATTAATAGGACTACAAAAATTATTTGTTAAGAAAGGACTAGTCTTGGTTCTTAAGACGCATATGAATTCAAATGTATTGCATGCACCCTATTGTTGTGCAAAACTGCCTGAGTATTGTGTTAAATCTAAATTTCATAAATAGGACTACAAAAATTATTTGTTAAGAAAGGACTAGTCTTGGTTCTAAAGACACATATAAATGCAAGTATAGCCAATGTTTATTTTTTAGCTGTAATTTAGAAATTTGGCTAAGCTTTAAGTCTTACTTGTTTCAGAATATAGTGTTTGATAAAAAGAATAGAACTTATACTATATAGAAAGGTTGTTAAAACGTCTAAAGTTTCAGAGCCAATTTGCTGCAGTCTAATATTTACAGATTTAACTTTTCAGCTTTTACAATACAAGAAAAAATGTACTGATTATGAAACAAAGATACACTCACAGTCTATTTCGCAGGTAATTAGAGAATATTAACTAATAATATTGTCCATATTTAGGTTTTGCAGTACAAGAAAAAGTGTGAGGAAATCGAGGTAGATAACTCTGATTTAAAATCCCGCTATGATCATTTGAAGTCGGTAAGCTAGATGCGTGGACGAAGTGTTTATTTAGGTGGCTGGCTTTTCCACTTAGATGTTTCTTGAACTGATTTCAGAAATTTTTTTAAAACCTTCAGTCATGAAGTCCTCTGTTTTAGCACAATCCATTAATTGGTTTGTGAAATAAATGAAGATTTCCTGACCAAGTCTAAAAAATTTCCTGTCTTTGTTCAAGTGGCAACTATTGATGAGATTGTGTTTCCTATAGTTTATATTTTTCCTTTCTTCGTAAAAACAATCATTTAGAAATTGTATTCAATCAAGAAAGAGTAATTCATTCAAAACTTTGACTACATGTGAAAAAAGGAATAACTATCTCATCAATATAACTAGGTTTTAGAAAACCAATAACTTTTTTGTATCTGAAGTACTGCTGAAACTGGAATCAGTTATAGTAATGCAGTATAAAGATGAAGGTTTAGCAGTGAATTGATTCAAAATAAGCCATTGGTTGAGAGACTCTGCACTTACTGGGCATGTTGTACTGATCCTCTTTGATATGAATTATTAGGTTCTACAGTATAAACGAAAATGTGGTGACCTTGAGAATGCAAATAGTAGTCTAAAATCAAATTCGAGCGTGAGTATTTTTGTACGAAAAGTCCAACTTATTGTTGTTGCAAGATACTCTAGTATTGATTGGCTTTAGTAGATATTGGTATTGTTTATTTTTATTTTTATTTTCTCATTCATTTCAATGTTGATTTTATTTTTTTTTTATTGTAAAAGTGAATCACTGAAATGGAGCACAATTTTTTCCCTTAACTTTTGTTTGACTAGAAAGCTCATTTCCTAAACGTCTTGTCTTGCTTTTCTAATATGTAACAAAACTTTCAACATTTGTAGTTGTCCCAAAATTATATTATTCATGGTAATCAAAGATGTTTTGATACACAGAGAAAAAAAATTGTTTGGAAATAATCTCACAAACATTCATCCAAATCCTTCATAGATTTTTTATTCTAAATATTGTATGGTTGAGAATTAACAGAAACATAATTTCTAGTTTGCACCACTTTTTGGGTAAAAAAATTCAAAATCTTTAAACTCTGCTCAGAATATCCAGTTGAATGAAATGAGATTGAATTAAGTCCACAAGCACCTAACTTCAACAAAAAACTACCATAAATCATACATTGGTCTCTGTGTATTAATAAGTACCTTATTCACTTCATAAAATATACTTTAATATGATATATGGTTTGATAGAAACAGCAATATTAAACCCCAGTCAAATTTAATAATGGTTCCCGAGCTGTTGACATGTTTTACAACTTTGATATGACATATTCTTCACAAATTCAGTTGAATAATACCTTGACGCTAAGGAAATCAATGAATAGATTATATTTGTAATATTGGGTTACCTTGTATTAGTCGCAAAGTAATGTTATTTTATCACTAAGAATGGAATAAAGCTGGTAAAGGAATTCACATGTACCTAATTTTATGCCTGATTCCTGTTTTTAAAACACTATTCATAAAAAATGCAAACACACGGTAAAGCTAGAGATATAAGAAAAAGGAAAGGAAAATACAAACTAATGTCATTTTGATCTCTGGTGGAGAGTTATCTCATTGGCGATTATACCACATCTTCTCATTTTTTATTTCTGTAAATTTGCGAAGAATGCATAATAGCTGCAAAAATCCTAAGTTTGTGTTTACTTTGGGTCGATTGATACTTGCTCATTATATAAGGAAAATAAATCCCTCAACTGTTATGGAAAAGAGTTATTTAAAATCTTGAGGAGGGGGAAGGATGAAGAGCTCAAAAATTGTCAGGAAAGCTCACGTAACAGAACTTTTTCCATCTGTTTATTAGTATATTTTAGGGGTTGTCCAATACCCACCACTCATATATCACATTACTAAACCTTCACAAAATGCCTGTAGATAATTGTTCGGTCAGATCACCATGTGTTGTTCCCTTCAAAGATGACAAATTCAGGAAAAGTAATTTCATTATTGGAAAAAAGATACATATATCTTGAATTTTTTTTGTTTTCTGAATTTGTCATTTGTGAAGAGTTTGTTGTGCCTGTGTGTGTTGTTTGTTGTGCCTGTGTGTGTTGTTTGTTGTCGTGTTGTTGTAGATAGTATTTACTGTTGTGTATTTCATACATGTAAAAATTTGTTTGTTTTTTACAGAAGGATAAAACATTTTTTTTGCATTGCTTTTAAAAGAGATTTTGGCTGAGAAAATCACAGAAAGAAATCAAAATTTAGACAGTATCTATTCTACATTAAAAATATATACACTGAAAATGCAATACATACCATTTACTTCTTGCTTAATGATGAAAAAAAGAAAAAAAATCAGGATAAAAATTCTTTAGATTATGAATACTTTTAGTTGACATTGTAATAGCTACAAATTTTGTTTGTGACAAAAAATCTTGTATATAATCAATATGAAATGGTAAACATTGCATGGAGTTAAAATCAACTATTGTAGTTTTCTTTTCATTAAACTTCAAATAATTAAATTGTTTACTCAGTATAAATTTTCTTTACATAACCAAATCAAGTTATGAGTTGATACATGTATGTATTTAATGACCCTACTGAAACATTGTTCTCTACATAATAAGTATTATATAACTTAATACACAGTTTGTTTGATTGGAAATTTATATAATCATTTGATTTTTCATTTCAACAGTATTGATTTTAAGTCAGTGTCATTTTATATTTATACACTCAGCTGCATCCTAAGTCTACAATAGAATAAAGTAAGAAAAGGTGTTATAGCCTTGAAATCAGACATGTTTTAAATGAGAACAAGAAGCTTAAGTAAGACACAAATTTTACTAGCAAGGATTAGTTAGTATCTTGACCTGAGTGTTTATACTCAGAAATAAAAAAAAATCAATGCAGTAATTCAAATTAAAAAAATGTTTGGATCAGCATATTTGTATATACTCTTTAGTTTAAGTTTCAAATTAACCTATTTTTAAATGTTTTGGCCATTTTCTTTAAAAAAAAAAGTCTATTTTGGAACAGTAGCTAGGATTAAACAAAATTTTGGAGATAAGCTATTCTGTGTAGAAATATAAACAATCATGTTTTTATGCAGTTATTCATAAAATATTATTTGTCAAAAATGAAAGCTACAGACAATTTACCTGGATTAAATAAAAACAACCTAATTTTCCTGTTTAATTTTTTGGGTTTTTTTTGTGGGTGAGGGAGTTAGGATATCTATGGTAAACATGAGATTTGCAATACATTTTGGATGTGTATTAATGAACAAAAATGATTTTTTAAACATTGGGGGGAAAAACTGCAAGATTTGTGCATGAATTTAAAAAAAAAAGGAATTATTACAAGGTTAATGCTACAGATATTGAAAAAAAATAAAATTGATCCGTTCTCATTGGGTGATTTCATCCTCAAATTTCAGCTACCTAAAACCACAAACCTATTTCATTTGGAAACTGCAAAATATATACAGTAATGTGATCTATAAGGATCTATAAGGAATGTACTTTTGATTTGTCTACATGTAACTGTTCCTGCATGAAATTCAATGAATTTTAAAATACGACTTTCTCACCCTCTTAACAAGTCAAATCTTGAATTAATATGTATTTGATTTTATTTTCTGAAATTTTGTTTAAATGTTTATTAGGAACAAATTATTTAACTGAAATTATAAAATTTAAATGGAAAACATTTAATATTTTCATATCCCACCGTTTAAACAAATCTAATTAAACTTCATTTTCTTTTAAATGGTTTTTGGCCATTAAAAGCAAGTTCTAAGTATAAGGTCAGGAGCCACGGACAATTCCATCGTCACATTCATTTCACAATAAAAGTCACTTTTGTTAATTTTGTTTACCAGTTTAAATAAATGTTTATTTTAATCCATTTATCAATAACTTTGTTAGGTATTTATCCAATAAAATTGACTTAGCTTTCATGATTCAAATTAATTCCGTTTATATGGTAATATCATTATTATTGTCACTCACAGCAGAGATGAATTTTATTGAGCTTCTAAATACAAAGGTGTATACTGTTATACCTATATGTTTTTAACTTTGATCCCATTAAAACGAGATTTGTCGTAAAGTCAAACATCATCGCTTGATCCATGTTGAAAGGCACCTTTAGCAATCACTTAATGCATCATTTCACCATATGATGTGATATTGCAGTATCTAACTGAGAAAGCACAAAGTGAAATTAACGAATGGGAAGTGTCATTTTGTGGGACTGGTTAAAAAAAGTGTTATCTGTTTGTGCTGTGGAGTTTCATTGTTTGACCTGGCTTGTGGAGTTAATTTAAGGACATACATATATATAAATCAATTTCATCTTCTTATTTTCTAAATTGAAGCCAACTTTATTTAGGAATATAGAAACTTTATAATTAATTCCAAGATGGCAGAATCTGCTGAACAGGATCAGGATTTGTTATCGGGAGAATCTAACGATTATAGAATACGTAAAACTTATAGTGCTAGAACAATGCTTCGTCGTAATAAATCTTATAAGGTAGGAAGGATAATAACTGTAGAATTAAGCCTTGGTTTTAGGGTTTTCCTTCAAATAGTAAAACTACAATTAAGTATCATCATTTTGATAAGTGATAGTTATTCACCTAAAGAAATAACCATTTTACATTTTTAAAAAAGATGACCCTAACACAAGAATCTGTATTCATCAGAATCTTTTTCAGAAGTTATAAAGTATTATTTGGAAGTTTACATCTCCTGTACCCCTATTTACAATTGAGACAATTTAATTAATGAATATGCATATATTTTAGTTACAATCACAACAGGATTCCTATCATAAAGGTTTAGACAGTGAAAGTCGTCTCCGTCAGGAAGCAGAAAACAATATGGATCACGAGTCAGCTTTGATCAAGTTAGAAGAGGAACAACAGAGGTCAGTAGTCCGAGGATGATATCAACTCCTCAAGGTCATGTGTTTGAAATCATTAAGAATTAGTTACCTGCTATGTTCTTTTTAAGTGAGAGTTATAGATTCATGCAAATATGCAGTATGGGTAGGATGCCCTTCAGATACCTTGGTTATACATTACTGATCAACATTATATATTTCTTCACACGAATATGATCAAAGATTAGATTGAAAATGTTGCATGTCTATACTTACAAATGAATATGCTTTAAATTGAAATGCATTGATGATTCATAATTCATTTCAAAACGATTTGAAATAGATTTTTCCTGCATAGATATATAAAAAAAAAGAAATTAAATGAATATAAATTTGTGCAGTTTGTCTAATAATAAATTTATAAATATTCCTTAAAATTTAGAACAAAAAGTAAATGCTTTCTATTATTATCAGGGAAAGATTATAGCTCTCCATCATTATAAATATTATTCACATGGTTATGACAAATAAAATTGATCTTTATTGCATTCTATAAATCCAAACCATGTATAGCCTTACTGAGAAATTATTCAGGACAAAACTATTAATATATAAAATTGAAAGCATTGAAATGATATTGATATGCAAAGTTATCATTTTGGTTCAAATATATACACAATTCAAATATATACACAATTTACACATCTATAATCGAATTTATGTGACTTATTATTTTACCAAAAGTGAATTTTTACGTAAGGGCTACATGAAACTATATGCGTCACATAGTTACAGTATTAACTACAAGACATGTCTATACAAAATGCTGTTTAAGTCATTGGGCATGTGAAATTTAAACTTAATAAGCTGGTTGTAATACAATAAGCTATTGCATTTTAAAACATTTTTAATGTTAAAAATGCATAAAAAATGTACTGAAAACTGAATAATTGATAAGTAATATAATTGGTTTGAATTATTTTATAGTTTAGAAACTGAAATTTAAAGGAGAAATATATTTAAAATGCAGTTGTATAGTAAACTTTAAGTTATGTAACATTTATGAAAGGATGTTTTTTTTTTTATTCTTTATTATTTATGAATTCTTCAACCTTTTTTATGGATGTTGTTAAGGTATAGTGTTGCAGTTTAAATAAGTAATGATGTATATTTCTGAGTAGACTACAATGCTAATTCAGGTCTGAAAAGCACAAAACAATTAATATAACAATCTGTTAAAGTGCACTACAGGTTGTTTGTTTGAAGTTTGTTTAAAGAGCCTTTAAGAGATAAGCTTGTGTGTGTAATGTTTAAGTCTGCAAGATGAACTTCTTTCTCACTGAAAAATTGTCCTGAACATATATGAAATATTTGCCACTGGATGTAAAGCAAACAACAAGCAACAATCTCATTGAAAATTACCACCACAAGTCTTTTATTAAATTTACAAGCACATGCATTATTCCTATCTCTGTTTAAAAAACTATCAGACTAAGATAACACCTCATTTCAGGAGTGCCAGCTTGGCCCATGTGAATGCTATGCTACGGGAGCAGTTGGATCAAGCAACGGCAGCCAACCAGTCCCTCACTAATGATATCCATAAGCTGACCAACGATTGGCAGAGAGCAAGAGAAGAACTAGAAGGCAAGGAAGCAGAATGGAGAGAGGAGGAACAGGTAATAATTGAACAATACTACATTACTTCCCAATACCCATTATCTTATGAAAATGTAGAAAACATGTGACTAAGAACCAATTTGAAAAAGAATGAGACTTCATTATATCCCTAGTAAACTTGTTATACTTTTGTTTTGACATATTTGGCCTCCTTGCATGAACCATACATAAAAAGTTAAAGAAGCATTGAATCAAGGAATGTTTCAAAGTGATTTTAGAAAATTTATGACTGTCATTTATTTTGACTATGATTTATTTCAATATAATTATGTGTTATTTTTTTCAGTCATTTAACGAATACTTCAGCAATGAACATGGTCGCCTCCTCTCATTGTGGCGGGAAGTGGTTGCTTTCCGTCGCAGTTTCGGTGAGTTGAAGACAGCAACAGAACGTGACATGTCTCATCTTCGTTCTGATGTCACCAAGGCATCAAGGAGCATGCACTCTGCCTGTCTCAACCTGAGTGCCAACCAGAGAAGCTCAGATACACAACTTTCGGTTCTGCTGGATCGTGAGAAACAGGAACGCATGTCTCTTGAGAACCAACTTAGAGATAAGAACAGGGAGATAGGAGAACTTCAGTCTCGCTATGATACTCATAGTGCTGAACTCAATTCCAAGTAAGTATTTAAATCCAGTCACTTAGAATTTATTGTTGCTAGTTTGATGAGTGTTCCACAGGTATTGTTTCTTTTGGTTCTAGAACATTCAATTCATCTTGTATTTGAAGAAATGTCTAAACCATTTAGATCTCAATTCAAGAACCATGAACCAATTCTTACATCTAACACTGTCTTTTGTAGCGACTGATTCTTATGAAATGAATCATTCTACGTAATTTTGGCAAGCATAAACATATATCTTATACAAAGTTGTAAGATTTACAAATGCATCCTGTTGATAAACAGCATAATAGATTCAATAAATGTTATTCAAATACTTGTATGAGTTAAACCAAAGAAATTTGTAATTGGGCAAATACTATTTTCAATTGAAATTTGTTTTGATCGAGTTACATAATATGTTTAGAAAAAAGTGAAGATAAAATTAAATAGTGTAGTAGATAGAGTTAAATACTATCATTTAAATTCATAAATCAAAGATGACTATCATCATGTTATTGGAAAATGGATTTTCTCAGTGTGTGTGTGTGTGTATTGCACCAACATATAATTTACAAACCTCATTTTCAGATATGTTTATGAAAAGGTTTCTGTAGAAAATCAGACACGGTAAAAAAGCAATTAAATAATCGTCTTATTAAATACTATTACTGAAAGGTGATATGCAGTTTTATTTTTCAGTTGTTTATCTCTTTGTTAAAAAGATGCAAAAATTGAAGTTTTACTTACTTTTTGGCATGATTGTCAAAGTTTTATACCGCTTAAATTTAAAATTTTTTTCCCTATAAACCATTTTTTTAAAAGATCAAACTGCTTATCATCTGAGTTTGCACGAATTATACATTAGTTGTTCAGCTATTTTACAGCTGCTTTTTCCCTGAATGTTGGAGCAAAGTTATCCTGCTATTTTTTATATAAAATATTCATTCAATATATTCTTTTTAATGCAAACATGAATTTATTTTAATAGAATACTGTCAAAATATTCTAGTTATTTTTTTTCATTGATTCACAATAGATTGTTCAAGATTTTATGGAACTCTCCATTGAGTGAAATATTACAAATGAGGAGGTATAAAAGAGGCTTTGCTTTATTTAGCCCCTGAAATTGCAAATATAGTAAATTCTTCAATCTTTTTAAATTTATTTAGTTTTATTGATAAACGTCAGGTGTGATATCAGTATGATGTCATAACATGACATATTTGACCTATAATCACAATTTTATTCTTTTTTGGGGGCAAAAGTAGACCCAGTTTTACCCCAAAAAATATTTTACCAACTTTAATGTCATATTATAACACATCTTGTAGCAATATTTGTTTTACTCTAAATATTTAGAAAAGATCTCAAAATAAGGCTATTTTGGCAGTTTTGCATTAAATTGAAAAAGTTTGAACCCCTAGGTAAATAAATAAAACAAAATTCAAAAATATAATTACTGATATCTAACAGACTTATGTCTCGTAAACATTTGAAGGATGACGTTTTTTTGGAATTTTGAATTCAAGGGACAAAAAAAAAGTGGCCTTATCATACCTTCTCCTTTATGGATTAAGATTTCATTGTTGGAAAATCTTTAGGTTTATATCAGTATTTAAAATATTTATGTTATAGAGGTAGTTTGGTACCCATATTTATCAGATTTATATAAAAAGAAAGGTAGAATGCTTATATTGTATATTTTTAGCTTGAGAACATATAACTTTTCTTCATTTTTTAATTCATTTTTTTTTACACTTTCCTGACTTGATTTTTTGTCCCCAAAAAGAATACAGTTTTAAATATTACTCTATACACTCTTTTTCATATCAGATCATTTCATTCATATAGAAAAATAAAAAATAGGTAAATTGTTCAAACTGATATTTCAGGATTTCAATATTTAATAAATTCACATGAAAAGGACATTTTAACAAATAAACCAAGACAACTAGTGGCTAGTGAGATGAATTTTTGTCCATCAGTTTTCAATTTATGTTATTTATTATTATAGAGTCAATGAGTTGACAATGTTGAATGAGAAATTGAAGATACAGGCTGAAGAACATAACAAGACCATCAGTAATCTTCAACGTAACATCAACAACTTGGAGACACGTCTTGGTGAACAGCGTAGCTATGATCTTCCAGAGACTGAGTCTTCTCGTCAGTACCGTGAAGAAACAGATGTCATTCACGAGGCTCTTAGAAACATTGCTGAGGCTGTTATCAATGATGCTGATGAAATTGATGCAGAAGGAGGAAGACGTTCAGTATCACCTTCAAGAACAAGGTCAATGTCACCAACAGCCAGGGCAAGGTCACCAATTCTACGAAACAGATCAAAATCTCCCATGGCTAGGTCAAGGTCTCCAGCCTTTGCTGATGCCACATTCTCTGCTGTCCAAGCTGCCTTGAACAAACGTCAACTCCAGGTATCAGAACTCAGAGCTAAGTTGATAGCCAGTAAAGATCATAATGGCCAAATTAGAAAGAACCTGGATGATGTTGAAAATGAGAGACGTAGACTGGAAATGCAGATTATCAACCTGAAAGAGGATCTGGACTTATCGTAAGTTTGCTTTCAGTTTGTTAATTATGATGATTGCTACAAATAAATGATAAAACCGGTATTCTTTGAATATTTATGCATTTGAAACTAAACTCTTTAAGGTGATAAAACAATGTGCATTCTATGTTTAAGTAAACTTGCTACAATTGAATTTATTTATGAATACATTTGAAATGAAACTTCTTGATCAATCTGTTATAAAAGTGAAAGAATGACATGGATCTTTTGCATTGTAGGAAAAGAGACAAGGATGATACCTCTAGAGAAAGAGACAGGCTCAGGAATTCTCTCAACTTGACAGGAAATGAGAAGTCTCAACTGGAGAAGGTCCGCATGGAAATGAATGAACAGGTAGAAGGGCTTCAGATGGAGAATGAAAAACTCCAGGCTGCCAACACCGAACTACAGAGACAGAGAGACAACCTGGAGGAGGACAAAGAGGATGTTACTAAAGACAAGGAGAGGCAACTTAAGGAGAACGATAGATGGTAAGAAAAATAAGATAATAGGTTAAGGCCATAAGGGGGACTTAATTGATATTAGTAAATGGTTGACTGCAAGATAATGAAAAGTAGAGACAAATTAAAAGATATTAGTATGATAGAAAGCAGAGAAGTTTGTAGGTATGAAAATTCTCTTTGGAAGGGTTAGAGTCACATTTACAGGGATTTTAAAAGGCTGCAGAAGCTAAGGGGATTGATCAATCTTTTGGATTTGGAAGGCTACAGAGACTTGCAATGTACCACTATTTGTTCAGTGTCCTTGGATCCCATAACAAAAAAATGCCAGAAATAAGTCTTTTTTTGAACTCTTCACAGGATTTACAAAAAGTCAATGATATTGTCATTTTGAAAGATTGCAATTGACAAAACAAGTGAAAATTGAAGCCCAATGTTTAAACATGTTAAGAAGATTTAAATTTCAGTGGTATCAGTTTCAGTATTTTGACAGCTAAATTACTGTAACATGATTCTGAAGAGACAAACACAAACTCATTTTGAATATAATATGATGTTGTGATGTGAAATTTAATTCTAACCTTATTGTATAATTTATCTCGACATTTTAATTCTGTAAACATGTTAAGATCAAGAGAATTTACAATACTGGATGATACTGTGTCAGTATTGCATGCTAGCACAATTTAACCTTTGATTTTGTTTAAATAAATTCGGTAACATGTATTTTCTGATGTGTTTTTTTTAAACAAACAGGAAATATAAAATATTCATGAAATCTAAATATTAGGCATTTTATCACTATCAAAGGTACAAAGCATCATTAATATTCATTGGAATTGAAAAAGAATTCCAAAAACAGATAATTCTAATCAATTTCGTGTTATTGATGATTTTGGAAAATTTGAACAATTAACTTTATTGATATAAGGATTTAAAAACTGTATTAAATCATCCCTTGTGTCCGTTTGACTATTAATTCATTATGTTTATTGTCTAATATAGAATAGGATTTACCTTAGAGCCAGATACAGTGGGTATTGATGGTGTGACTTAGTTGTAAATTAATAATTCTTTTCTGATTGATTGCTTTCATTTTTCCTTTGTTCGGAATTAGTATCTGTCAGAACTGGGTTTTGATTAGATTTGTGTATTTAAGTAAAATTAATGTTTTATTACTTGACAGATGGTGATATATGTATCTTTTTAGTATTTTATATGTGTGAAACTTTGAATTTTGTGCTATGTAATTGGTGTACTTTATGAATTATGCCTTCATGTTTCTGGTGTACTTCATTCTAGGTGTACATAGAGTCCTCTGCACACTATGCCTGTGTGTTTAAAAACACCCAGTACACCAGTAAAAAGATGGCACATTTTATAGTTGACACCCTTCACATAGAACATGTACCATGCTAAGTTCTAAACTAAAACACAAAAGGTAAAAAGTTATACTTCACAGCATTGGTAATTTATGGATAATATATTATTATTTTTAATAATGCAATATTTTTTTTATAGTTAACATGACATTTTCATTTTTCATATTTCAGTCACAGAGTAATTGACCAGTTGGAACACAAAGTCAGCAGTATAAAGGAAGAGCTTGTTGGAACTAAAGAGGCTCTCAACAGGGCACTTTTGGACAAGGAGGTTCTTGAACAACAGAAAGCTGAAGTCAGTAAGTTAATATTGAATTAGGGAGATGTAATATATTTGAGGTTTTGATAGCTCATTTTCAAATCATATTCATAATGGAGTTCAACTGAAATGTGGAATATAAAGTAATTGGCTTTTGGGAGAGGGTAGAAAAAAAAATTAAATGAAAAAAGACAATTTGTTGTTTGCATACACGTATCTAGTATATAATCCTGAAACACATGCATGCAAACAGAAGTAAAATGGATTTGATGTACATATTTTCATCATCATTTTTATTTAAGGTGATGCATTGACCAAATCTGAAGTTCAGAAATCTGACCTTGAACTTGAGATAAACAGAGCCAAGACAGAGGAGGCAGGTCTTAGAGACGCCTTACATAAGATGCAACAACTAAATGAAGGTTTAGGTCAGGACAAGATTGAACTTAACAAGATGATTATTATGGTAAGTTATATCTATCAGATATTTTATCTAAACTTCAGATGAAGGTTATCAAGAAAGGGAGATTATTCTCTGAAAAATTCTCTTGGACTTGTTAACTTTTGTTTGCTGTTAATTTAGAAATTTTAGCATACATTTTTTATAGTGATTGTTAAAAAATTGACACAAAAGCAAAATAAACTAGATTTGTAATTGCTAGCAATAATGGATGGCACCCTTGTTCCCCGATTGCCAGGGTAACGGCAGCCATTTTGAAAATTCCAAAGTCAAAGAGGGCATCTACACATGCCAATTAACATTATTGTAAAGTTTCATTGAGATTGGAGCATTTTGAAATTTTGGACATTTTTACTGTTTCCATGGTAACGGCGACCATTTTGAAAATGCCATACCCTGATTGCGCATCTGCACATGCTGGTTAACATTATGGTATAGTTCCATTAACATTGGTTCATACAATTCCGAGATATAAGCTGGACAAAAAAAGTGGAAGAAAAATTAAAAAGAAAAAAAGAAACATAGAATAACAATATGTCACCCCAACTCCGTTGAGGGTGCCATAATTATTGTTATTTCAGTAAAAGTTGCATACAAATAATAATAATAAGCGTGTAATGCAATAAATGAAACTGACAGTATGTTCAATAAGATTTAAATAAAGTAAAATGTGTCATTGAGAGTATTATTATTCTAAAGCAGTTTTCATAGAGTTTGAGTCTCAGATAAAATAAGAATTATAAAATTGTGTTGTTTTGGTTATTCCACATAAATTTTTGCTGATTTTATAAGTTTCAAACCCACATTTTTAGAAACTAACTATTTATGATTTTCGTGTTTCTTTAATTTTTATAGCTAGAGAATGAGAAGGCCTCACTACAGGGAGAGAAATCAATGTTAGAACAAGAGAGAAGTGGAATCAGAGAAGAATTGGTCCGTGTAGAACAAGAGAAGATGGATCTGGATACAGAGAAAATGGGTAAGTAATTGTTTAAAATGTCACATGGTAGTTGATTGGACAATTATTTTGATGATTCAATATAAACTTGTCATTAAGATAATAGAAATATACATGATAGATTCCTTAAGTTAACTGTTATGTTTGAACAATAATGCTTGATGAATATAAAAAGAGACATTTGATACTTAATCCACCAGGAATATTCTGAAAGGATCCAGTAAATATTGTGTTCACACCATTGCTCGTTTATTTAATGCTTATTCTGAAAGCAGTCTTGCTCATTTATAAATGTTCATGCATATGTTTAACAAATATTTCACATTTTCAATAGGATTGAATCAGACATTAGAACTGAGTGAGATGTCCAGACAACAATTAGAAGAAGAAATCACTGCTATACACAGAGAGAAAGGAGAAACTACAGAACAACTCAACTGTGTATGTAAACCTATTTTGACAGGCTTGCCTCTTATTTGGTTGTTTTAGTTCATTATGTTTTGAGTTAGATGATTATATGTCAGCGTTTAAAAGTGGGAAAATGCAAAGAAAAACTTTTAATGACCGATTTCAAAAGAAATTTTCATGCAACCTGTTTTTTTTATTTTTTTGTCAAAAGGAAAAAGCAATTTAAGCTTCCAATAAACACCAAATTATGTTTCGGTCAAAAAGGAATAATTGTTCCTGTGTTGATTTCTACAAAATTACGCTTGCCCCAGAGTTACTATCAAAGTAATGGCATTGGTAGTTAGAAATGTAGTAAATAGCTTAGACACAATGAAATGTTGAAATTAAGGAAGGGTTCCTTCATATTATATGAGAAAAATAGCAATATGAAATTAAATTGAAGTAGTTTTATGTATATCCTCTAATATTTACCCTGTAGGTTGCAAGACATAAACAAGCATTGGCTGAAGAATTGGTGGCTGTCAGGAAAGAAATCGAGAGGGTTAATAACAACCTCAAACGTATTGCTATTGAGAAGGAGAGACTCACACAAGAAAAAGGTGAACTGATTGTTCAGGTCACTGACACTGAAAGAGAAAATCGTCACCAGAGTGAAGTTATCTCCTCTTTGAAGGCAGATAAGGATGCCCTTGAAAGTGCACTCTATGAGGTCCAGGAACAAGCTCGCCAGTTAGAGGTCCGTAAGGAACAGTTAGAGGGAGAAAACCAAGAGTTGATCATCAGGAAGGAAAACCTACAATGTAATCATCTTATACATATATTATTGTCATCTTTTAAAAACTGTTAGAAAATACCATAATGGCAAAATTTGTAATATTTTAAAGGACACTTGTTTGAAGAAAATTTCTTAAAATTAAAAGTATGCATATGGACATTGATATTTTAATATACTCAGTAGTTTTGTTCATTAATTACTTTCATTATGGTCTAACTAGACTTGAAAAATGATGCAATGAATCAAATTAAGATTTAAAAAGATATACTGTGAAGAATGAAAATGAGAGAAAGAGATGAAAATGAAAGTAAAAGAAAAAGTATCATACTCAAGATCTAAAAATGTGTTCAATAATACATTTCAATGATATCAACATTAACAGTACCCATTTTTAGCTCACCTGGCCCGAAGGGCCAAGTGAGATTTTCTCATCACTTGGCGTCCGTCGTCCACCGTCGTCGCCGTCCGTTGTCGTTAGCTTTTTACAAAAATCTTCTCCTCTGAAACCACAGGGCCAAATTTAATCAAACTTGGCCACAATCATCAGTAAGGTATCTAGTTTGAAAAATGTGTCCGATGACCCCGCCAACCAACAAAGATGGCCGCCATGGCTAAAAATAGAACATAGGTGTAAAATGTAGATTTTGGCTTATATCTCTGAAACCAAAGCATTTAGAATAAATCTGACGTAGGGTAAAACTGATTATCAGGCCAAGATCTATCTGCCCTGAAATTTTCAGACAAATCTGACGACCCGATGTTGGGTTGCTGCCCCTGAACTGGTAATTTTAAGGAAATTTTGCAGTTTTTGGTTATTATCTTGAATATTATTATAGATAGAGATAAACTGTAAACAGCAATAATGTTCAGCAAAGTAAGATCTACAAAATTGTCAGTCGACCCCTTTAGGAGTTATTGCCCTTTATAGTCAATTTTTTACAATTTTTCTTAAATTTTGTAATCTTTTACCAAAAAGTTCTTCTCTGAAACTACTGAGACAAATTTAACCTTACTTGGCCATAATCATTATTAGGGTATCTAGTTTAAAAAATTTGTCTGATGTCCCCACCTTCCAACCATCATGGCCGACATGGTTAAAAATAGAACATAGCATAAAATGCAGTTTTTGGTTTATATCTCTGAAACTAAAGCATTTAGAGCAAATTTGACAGGTGGCAAAAATGTTCATCAGATTTAGATTTATCTGCCCTGAAATTTTTAGACGAATCTGACAACCTGTTGTTGGGTTGCTGCCCCTGAGTTAGTAATTTTACAGAAATTTTGCAGTTTTTTGTTATTATCTTAGATATAATTATAATATCTAATATCTAATACTATTAATTATGATTTTAACCTTATTTTACATGATTTCCAAAGCATCAGTAAATACAGGTGAGCGACACAGGCTCTTGAGAGCCTCTATTTTTTTTTTGCACCAGATGGGCATTTCTACAATAAATGTTTTTTCAGTGAAGCTTGAAGCCAAAATATTTGAAAATCCAAAACTTATTAAAATATGAAGAGCTTATAAACCAAGAAGGATAACTTTAACTAAATAATCAGGATAAATAAATATATGATAAAACAAAAAATTATGTAGCAAAAAAAAAATGTTTTGTTTTTTCATACTGGAAGCTGATAATATTATTGATCAGTTTGCCAATGTCAATTAGCACTTTGGTCTCATGAATTTCCTTTTTGAGGTAATATTAAGTAAGTGTTGATGCACAGATAATGGATGAGAAAGGAAATGATAGTTTACCTAAGGATGGAAATAGCTGTAAGAATTCTGTCTCAATCAAATATATTTTTTATAATTTTAGTTCGGACATAGTAATTATTTATAAAATGATGTTAAAATTGGAATAAAAGAAAATGCCTACTAGGTTATTTGTTGAATTATATTTTTCCTACATTTCAGCTGAAATTAACCGTTTGTGTAAGGAGAAGGATGCTGACAACGAGAAGTTTGATTTCCAGAGAGAGGACCTGAACCGTCGTTTGGCACAGCTGGAGCGTGACATGCAGATGGCCATTACACAGGAGAAACAAGCCCATGAAGATGATGTTGATCGTCTCAGCAGAGAAAGGGTAGGTGTTACTGATTTCACATTTTGATAAGCAGAAGTTATACATAATATAGATGTAGTAGATCTCATAAAACTACACAAGCAGAGGTTATAAAGAACGAATGTCCATGAACGTAATGCAGACTAAGTTTTTAGCAATATAAATGTGAGTAACATAGTAAGCTAGCCAACACAAAAGTGATTCTTGCTTGAATATCTTTTATGTTGGATTTTATAGAAATTTTTTTAACTTGCCTCTAGTTTATATGAATCTGTGATAGCACATGCTTGGAAATGTTACCAGTTTGTATGTGGAAGTTATTATCAATATACTCTACCTGTGAATAAAAATACTTTAGAATACATTAATAATCTGATGTAAATCACAGAACAAATAAATGATATCAAGTAGTTATAAACATTGATTATGACAGATAAGATTTATGTTTTTGTTAACAGGATAACCAGAGAGCTGAGTTTGAGTCCCAGAGAGATGAGATGATTCTACAGTACAATATGGAGAAGGAAGAGTCCAACAACAAGTTTGATAGAATGAGGGAGGAACTAATGGAAGAACTGGCCGCTTTACAGAGAGACAGGGATAATTCTCTTATGATGGCTGAAAATGACAAGCAACAGGTACTTGCATAAAAGAAGTTTGGTCTAGGCAATTTGCTAACTTTATTAATGCATTCATAAAAAGAAAGGTCCAAGATTAGCATCATCTGGACTATTTATATTCTTATTATTTTTCTATTCACGAAAGTTGGTGAAAAAATGGCTGCAAAAATTAGTTGCCCTACTGCAGCACAAATTGTAATTGTCATTAACTAATGATTATACCTTTATACAGCAACTTACATTGTAGAATTATTTACTGATCTATCTTAAGAAGTTAAAACTGATCCTTACTACCTTTCAAAATCATTGTTTTATTTTGTTGTCTGAATAATTTTTCTGTGTTTTAGACAATGTCATTATTGGAACAAGAGAAGAGCACTCTAGGAGAGAAGAATAACAATCTGACCATGGATCTGGCCAATGCTAATGTGGAGTATGAGAGGTTGAAACGTGATTATTATGCCAAACAGGAACAAGATAGGACTACCATTAATGGTCTTGGCAGTGAACTGAAGAATTTCCGTAGCCAGTTTGATGAAACTTGGTAAGTTGATTGACGCAAATATGTTATTAGGACCTATCCTTGTACTTGTATGAGATTAAAAACAAATTAAGTAAAGATATTAATTTTATCATTCAAAATAATGTGTCCATCTTGCAGTCAGTAACCATGTGAATTATCAAGTTAAAAATCTGGCTGATCATTTTGTTCTCGTACAAAGGTTCATATGACATTAACATGTTTTGTCCTAAAATGCATTGTTATATTTTCTGCTAAACATTAAACATCTATTCATCAATCTTTTAAAAGGAAAATCTAAAAAAAAGTGTCTTATTTTATATTACAGCATGAACCATGAAAAGGAATGTAAGGATCTTACTAACAATATCAGAGAGCTGGAAAGACAGAGAGAAGGAGCTCTTAGAGAGGTTGCTGAACTCAAAACTCAACTCAAACTTGTTGAAGAGAATCGTGACAATATACGTAGAGATCTTATTGAGGCTAATCGTAGAATTAGGGAGGGTGAAGAAACCAGAGATCTCATGAGAAAAGACATTGTTGAACTTAAACGTAATATCAATGATGAAGTACGAGAGAAGGACACCATTAGTAAGACAGCTGATGATCTCAGAAATACCGTGAAGAGGAATGAGGCTGACAAGATTGAACTGAATAGAGCATTACAGGACAACAAACAGAGATGTGCAGGTATACAGAAATATATAGAATTGTGTAAAAGCTATATCAACTTTGATTGGACAAGAGCAATGCATTGAATATTATATAAAATTTTAGGAAAAGTAGTAATACTTTACAGGAGAGGAGCATATGATTGATTGATTGATTGATTGAGTTAATAATTGATTTAAATAAATTAGCATTTATGGTAATCAGCTATATTTTAGAAAAAGTTGTATATAGATAAGCAGTTTAATTTATAAAGGAAAACTTGGATTTAATCTATAAAATATTCCCAGACAGAAATATATTGTATGTGATAAAACTATATTATGGTTGTAGTTTTGCTAGCAAAGTCAATATTTGGTTTATCACTGTAAATATTTCATAAAACATGTCTTTGGTTCCAGGATCTTACCTTTTATCCAAAGTGCAGTTTTTGTTTCTGAAGAAAATTTAGGAAAATCGTTAAAATATGTTTGTTTTAGTTGTAAAATGTCAGAATTAATGTACATTTATTTGATTTTCTATACTCAATGAAATTTTAAATCTCCTTCACTTTTGTAGTGAAAGCTTTATGTCAACATAGTAAATTTGTTTATAGATATCTTTTCAAATAAAGTAAACTTTGGGATTTAATTTTATTAATTTTCACATTAGCAAATAAGAAAAGAGTATGATGCATAAAATTTGACTGAAATCTTCTGGATATAATTCATTGAATAGAAAAAAGGTTTTGAAAAGGGAGGCTAACAATATTTCGTGACTTGGAAATATTTTTCTATGCAGTATTGGATGAACAGAAGGCTAATGTTCAGAAAGAGGCAGGTGACTTAAGAGCCAGTCTACGTGAAGTTGAGAAAGCTCGTCTTGAGGCACGTCGTGAGTTGCAAGAACTACGTCGTCAAGTGAAACAATTAGACGGAGAGAGGAACAAGCTAGGAAAGGAGGTGGGAGACCTGCAGACCAGGGTGGCTAGGGATGAAGAAAAAGAGGAAGAGTCCAGGAGAACTTCATTTGATCTCAAACAAAAGGTATGCATGGTTTTTGTTTTATTTTAAAGCAGTTGTTTGTAACAACTCAAATTTGTAGAGTTGGAACAATATACAATGTAATTTGGACAGCTGAAAGGCACAAAGCTTCAGATCAGCACAGTGTAATCCTCATCCTAATCAATTTTTTATTAGTCATAGCAGTTGTGTTTCCTTTGTAGTTTTGTGTACTATATCCATTAATGGGCTATAGGTTATGAAAATTATTCACAAGATAGAGTTTCTGTGAAACACAGGAATCTTTAAATCAATTAGATCTTTTGAATCTGCTTTATTACAAGAAATTACTAGCCAATAAAAACACTGCTTCTTCAACTACAATTATTAAAAAATGTGAATTTTTTTTTTTAGGTGGTTGAGACAGAAGCCAGTCGTGAAGCCCTCAGAAAGGAACTTGCTAACACTCAGCGTAAGATGGGTGAAGTTATTGAGGAGAGCAGGATGAAAGAGAAAGATTACCAGATGGCACTTGAAGACAGCCGCAGAATCGAAAGGAAAATGGAAGACCAGAGACGTAACTTAGAAATTCAACTTGAAAATACAAATGCTGAAAATGAAGAATTGAAATTGAGGTTGAGTGGAGCCGAAGGAAGAGTTAATGCCCTTGAGGCAACCCTTGCAAGACTGGAGGGTGCTAAACGTGACATTGAATTCAAACTTAGTAGCATTGTGTCAAGTTTGAGAAGGACCATTGGATTCAGACAAGAAATGCCAAGAGCCCGTAGTCCAGTTAGGTCTCGTTCTACAAGCCCAAGGCGGTCCAGGCCAAATTCTCCAGCTAAAGGTAAACTTGATATGAAATATTTATATCAATATTACTTCTGTTTGATGTTTATTCCTTATTAAAATAGAAATGTGAAGAAAATGAACTGGAAAATAAATGTACTTTTTATGTCATTTTAACAAGGTTGCCTATTCCCTTGATTGCAAGATTGAAACTTGGAAGATTATGCCTAAATTTATATGTTATCAAAGCATCACTTTTACAGTTTACTTGTGCTAACTTATCAAAGGCAGATTGAAATAGGTAGCTTGTAAATACAGTACTAATGGTTATATGGGTGTTGTATCTTCATTTAAATTGATTTTGGTTTATAGGATTTGAGAATACATATGCCACCACTACTGAAGGCCGAGGTAGTCCTATTCCAAGAACTGGGTCACCTGATAGAGCAGGAAGTCCAATTAGAGTGTCATCACGTGGTGTATCACCTTCTAGATTCGAAATGTCTGCAGTTGATGTTGACCCAGAGGCTGTCAGAATGGCTCTCCGTGACTTTGTACAACAGTTGGCTAATGCAGAGAGAGAAAGGGTACGTTGGATGTTATTTTTTATTTTAAAACAATGACAAGTAATAAACAAATTTTTGTGAGAGAAAAAAATGTTCACTATAGTGATCAGGTAATAATGTGTTACCATGGAAGTTTGTTTAGTTTAAGAAAAATTACTATAGTTTTCTTTTTATTATGTTTTCTTTTATAAGGTATACTGTGGATTCATTATTCTATGTGGAATATCAATTTTCATGTTTTTTGTAGGTAAAGGTAAAGCACTAATTTAAATCGAGATGCATATTTTCTATAGGATCATATGCAAACTTTGGCAAAATCACGAAATTAAATATCCATGAAAATATGATTTCCCTCAAGCCACGAAAAAATTTGTAGCCACGAAAAATGAATGAATCCACATTCATTAAAATTATGAAGATTATTTACAAGCAGGCAACTATTCAGTATATACTGTAGTTTTCATATTAATGAATGCAAAAACTGCAAGAATGAAATTACATATTGAATTGTCTCTCTTGTAGGATGATGCTCTTGCCAACACAAAGAGTATGGGAATACAACTTCAGGAATTAGAAGATGAGAAGGGCAGAGTAGAGAGACGATTGGAACAATTACAGAAATCTCTTGGTGATGTAGAGGAAGGTAAGTTAATATTATTTACAGGTCATTGTTAAATATACGTTGTCATTTTCTATTTTAAAAGTTCCAAATGGTTCTTCTATAGACATGCATTGGTTTGTTTAGTTCTAAACTGGTCTCATGCCAAGACATGCATTTGCTTATTAAGTGCTAAACTTATCTCATTCCTAGACAAGCCTTGTCTCAGTTTGTGCCAAGATAAGCTAACCAAAGGGAGTTAATTCCAGTCAAAAGTTATGACTTTTCAAATGTTTTTTCAGCAAAATTAAACATTCTTAAGTATTCCCCTGGTGTGAATTGATTGCTTTTTAAGTGGATTTTAATAGGTTTTAAATGACCACTTTTGATAAATTTCTGCTGAAAGACTTGTGAAAAGCAAATACTGAGAGAGTTAAAATGTCATTTAATAAAATGAAGATCTTTGAAGTGAATGCATTTTCACACCTTTCTCAATAGCTATTGAAATTGAAATTCCATCATATTTTTTTAAAGATCTTAAATGGTTAAAAGAGGAAAACATACCAAAAAATTTATCATATTTTAATTTTAAAAAGCAATTGTTGATTCTTAATGTGATATTAGGAATCAACAATTATTGTAGAAGAAGTAATGTTTGATTAAATGCTTACACCTTGGATATTCCCTAAAAAGACCTATGCCACTCTAGAAAGCCAGTTTCTCTGTGGTGATGTGTGTTTTACTTGATCTAAACTTGTTCCCTGAGTAAGTTTCTTGTTGAAAAGGTGAACAGGTAGAACTTTTATCTAAGGGAAGCATAATTGAATTAGGTTTTTCAAATGATAGCAAAGTAACATTATTTATTTTATACAAAGGGTCGTTAAAAAAACATTTGAAGGAGCTAAATGAAATTGAGAATGGAAAGGTTATGGAAGTTTTGGGTCCATTGAGTAGGGTGGTCTGTCACAGTTGATCTATTTGATTACAAGGTTCATTTGTTTGAGTATATGATAAATGCATGATAGTTTGTCTGTTCATTGATCATAACATAAAACATAGATCTTCTACTCTGATAAGATATTAAAGGCTACCATTCAAACCTCAAACATCAACAAAGTAGGCTTTTATTTGTAAACAGACCCCTGTTTGTAAATATGAGCATGATGAAACATAAGCAATATCGTGGGTGCATTTTTAATGGGTGTCAAAAACATATAAGGTTTCTTAGTGTATAATTTCTTCATATGCAGCCCCAGGTGCATCGGAAGTCACGCACAAAGGTTCTTAAAAGTAGAATTTGGTCGTTAAATAAGATTAAATAATGCATTATTTATGTTTAAATCTTGGTGGGAAATACCAATAAGAAAGTTGAGCCTTATGTGAATAAAATCATAACTGGATTTATTTTAATCGGATTTATATTTAATTGTTTGTGTATTATTTTATTTTATCAATACTATTTATATAATGAACTACTGGTCATTTTTGGACATTGGCCTTGTATTACTGTTATACAAGTTGCATTAAACTTTGTGTCTACAAAAAATTATATTTTAGGTGCCATTGGTATATGTTTACAAATTTACAGTAATACTTTGTGTGATATGATTCTATAGATAAGGTTATGGTAGTAAATCGTGCTATGAATTAGAACAAGAAACAAGGTAATGAAATTCCGGAATCATCACATGAACCTTTCAAAGAATGTTAATTGAAAACATTTTAATTCCTGGAGTCACCTTATATATCAATATAACATGTATAAACTAGATAAAAACAAATTGAATGGACGAAAAACTAGATGAATTTTTAATACTCGATTGTTCACAGTTATAATGTATATCCTTTTCAATGCTATTATAGAATAAGTTTTATAACAATAAATATTAATTTTTAAAGAAAATATAAATTCATGTTTGTTACACATGTTTAATTATTAAATTTGTACCTGTCATATATTTGAAAATTTTATTCTATTGGCCAAGGTGGTAGTAAAAAGGTCATTTAAAATATTCACCCATGTAGCAATTTATTGTAACAGTTTCTTTCAAGTTCAGTTCTCTAGAACACTAGTTTTACCAATTTACTTTTCAGTTTTTGTATTCATTAAAAGGCTCTGTTTTAAAGTTATTATGTCAAACATATTTGTAATTCCTGACTGACTTAAAATTACTATTTTTTCTGATGAAAGTCGCTGAGTCAACCAATTTGTATAATTCGGCAATTTGACAAATTTTATAATTAGCTGGCATGTGCTCTTTTTGGCAAAGGCGATTAGAACAATAAAGTGTTGGTCTGTTTATCTTGTTAAGATAACAATAGGCGGTTTGATCTTTTTGTTGTATTATTATAAGATTAAGGTAGTTGTGTATTCCCTCCAGTAAGGTGACAAGTCTTCACCTGTCCTCAGTGGTCGGTAATCAATATCCAAATTTGTAACACTAACATAACTTTAAATTACACCAACCACAATATTTGAAATGTCAATGTAAAAAATGTGTAGTAAACTGTGAAATAAAAGTTGTGTGCTTTAAATACATTCATACTATTTTGTGAATTTTGGTACTTTCTCACTAAAATATTTACAATTGTATTCATCCACCTGAAGAATTAAATGTTTGGATTTAATAGATAGTTCTGTTTAATTGTGTTTGGGATTTTAATCATTGAGATATAATGGCTTACAAGATATATCTTCTACCAAGTCAATTGATGTCACATGCTCTGGGACCAGATAACCCCAGCTCACTTCCTTACAAGAATGGTACGTGTGTTATAGTATTTCCCAATTAAATTGTGTGATAAGGGTTCATATGAAGGTGAAACTTTAACAACCAATGGAAATTAAGTTTAGATGTCAATGTTGAAAAACTTCCAAGTTTTTGTTTACTTTATAAATTCATTGACATAATTCTTTTGTTTTACTGTTCAAATTAAATTTCATCAAATACTTCACAATATTAATGTATGATTTAAGATTTCTGATTTAACAAACCTAGATTTCTTTTTATTTCAAAGATGTTTTAATAAAAAAAAATGCTAACAGGACATATGTTTGCTAGTTATATTCTTTTATATAATTTAACCTCTTTAAAAACAATACAGTAATAAAAAAAGGATAGCTGGGAACTGATTGAACAGTTAAGCTCTGGACATATGTACCATGTAATTCATGCCATCAGTTACTAAAATTAAGTATGTTTAAGTATGCATTGTAAAAACAGCACTCTTGCTCTTCTAAAAGACCAAAAAGTCCTTCAATAATTTACATCTATGCTCTTCAGAGAGACAAAACAAAAAAACACCCAAATTTTCGTGTCTATTTTATGAGTTCACAATGTTTGTTAGTGTTTATTTACATCTATGCTCTTCAGAGGCAAAATAAAAAAAAAAACCCAAAAGTTAATGTCTATTTTATGAGTTCACAATGTTTGTTAGTGTTTATTATAAGATCAATTTTAAATCCTTTATCAAAACAAATGTAATTCAGCTGAAATAAGCAGTTTTTCAAATATTTTTTAATCTATAATTTGTATACATAAACCACACAATAACAAACAATATAGTCATGTATTGACTGGGGTAATTGAGAACAGTTAGAAAATTGAATTGAGTTTTATGTCTGTACACCCTGTATGGACATGATACAGAATTTAATTATCCTACAGTGTAATGGACAGGGATAAGTAGGAGCTAATAGAGAGTTATTACAGCATAAGGCCAAATAAGAACAACATGTGTTGTTTCCATTTAAATTCTCTAACAGTATAGATCAGATGATTTGAAAGTGAAATACAATTCTAGGCTACATATACATATATAATATGGGACAAAGTTTGGCTTTAAACATCATATTTAAAAGTCTGACTTATATATGGATGTTAAAGGTTATTGAAGATCTCAGTATCATGTACAAAAATGTTCCTGTACAGGTAACATACCTGTACTTTATTAGCTCTATTGATTTTATTATCAATTTCAGTATAGTTTGATGCTGTGTATATGATTATGGTATTCAAGTTCTTTGACAATGCTTGTCAATAAAAATTTAATTGTGTATTTTAAATATTGAATGGAACTCTATGTATTATTGGATAAATGTATATTATGATTAAATTAACAGTAACTTTAGATGTTTCATTCTGAAAAAAAAACGTATGTTGAAAGATTTGAAAGATACTGAAATAGAATAACAATGCTCAAATTATATTAGCATCCAGTTATTATTGCTTGAAAAGAAACCATGGTTTATGCAATGATCTACAATGTTAAAGATGAACTGAATACCAGTGCTTTACACTTTTTATTTGAATTCATCTATAATGTGAATAAACCTTGGGTAAGGAAGATAATTAGGTTACAATTTTTATTCATTTATGAGGTAAAAATACCTTTCAACCAGGGGTAATAGGGCCTTTGTACTTCTTATCTTGATGCTTATAATTAGAGCACAATGCATAACAACTTAAAACAATTGATTTATATGTTCATTATTAATAATATTACAGACAAACGTGGAATTGATGGACGTCTTGCAAGTGCCCAGACCGCCTTGATGCTCCAAGAGGAGACAATTCGCCGCAATGAAAGGGAACGCAAGATTATGCAAGACAAAATGAATGCTTTGGAGCGCAGCCTGACCTCTGCAGAGACAGAGAAACGCCAGCAGCTGGAGAAGATTAGTAAGATGAAGGCTAACGAGGGCAGACTGGATGATGATAAACGTAACTTGAGACAGGGTCTTGAAGATGCTGAGAACAGATGTACTAAACTAGAACTGGCTCGTAGATCTCTGGAGGGTGACTTACAGAGGTTCAAACTATTGATGAATGATAAAGAAACAGAAAATCTGGTTTGTTTTTCTATTGTTTTATTTCAGTAATGATAGATTTGAATTTATTCCCAGTAACTATTACATAGGGAATAATTTTATTGATGGAATATGAAAGAATATATGTACATATAAAAAGTGAGAACTCAGATGCCAAATGCCATTTGATGAATGCAGTAACTGAATCAAAATTCAACTGTATGTTCACCACAATATAAAAAAACAGGTTAAGCATAAACTTTTAGGCTTATTATGCCCCGCCTACAATAGTTCATTCATTCAAACATTCATCCATCCGTTCATCCGTCTGTCCCGTGTCGGGTTAAAGTTTTTGGTCAAGGTAGTTTTTGATGAAGTTGAAGTCCATTCAACTTGAAACTTGAAGTACACATGTTCCCTATGATATGATCTTTCTAATTTTAATGCCAAATTAGAGTTTTGACCCCAATTTCACGGTCCACTGAACATAGAAATAATAGTGGGAGTGGGGCATCCATGTACTATGGACACATTCTTGTTTTACTTGTTTTTTAACTCTGCCTTTTCTCCTAAAATGTGAGATCTTGATAAAAGCACTAAATATTTGACAAAAGAACAAGCTCTGTAAAAAGTATTGACTTCCATTGTAAATGCATAATATTAATTAATTGATTATCCAAACATTGATTTTGTAAAGGTAACAATGTTTTCACAGATTGAACGTAAGAAACAAGATCACATGAATATTTAATAATAAGTCAATTTCTGTTGGCTACAGAATCTTAACTTGAGGAACAGAATAGGAGCTGGATTAAAAAATAAAACAAAAAGGCCTTCATATATATGTCTGCAATTGAGTAACTAATAATGAAAGTAAACCTCTTATCGTGACATGTTTACAAACTTGGTTTCATCAAAATTCAAGATTGTAAAAAAGTAGAAAATTATTATACCCTTCAAGACCTGTTACGGTTTTTCTGACATCTGGTTTTATTAACTAATCATAGTTCTTGAGAACATTTTAACATCAAATACCTTAGAATAAGCAATGTATGAAAAGAAAGATTTTAGTAAGGAGGATTCTGGATTAGATATAATACTGAGGCATGTGAAATCAGATAAGTTCAAGATGGTAATTGTAGAAAATGATGCTAGAATTCCTCCCGTGGAAGTTATAAAGGTAGGATTGACACAGGAATCAGAGTCTTATTTATACATTTAAAAAATTAGATGTTATGATTCATTTTGGCAAAATATCCTTAAATTGTCCAAAATATTAGCAATGGAAAATGAAAGCTTTTCCCAGTTAATACTTTCTAATTTATTGTTTAATAGATATCTCAACAGCCACACAGACTTTATCCCTATTAACTTATAAATAGAACATAAATTTTTAGTTAAAAAACCAAATATGTCTTTGTAAAATTATTTTATAAAAAGTTTTCCTTAAAAGATAAAGCAGCACCCAGGTCAAATCCAGAAATGTCTCTTCAGTAATCAAATGACTTTTAATAACCCTCGGGAAAAACTGGAATAGGTAACACTGACCAGTGCTATTTATAGCATTGTGATTACCTATTTTTGTGACTAGACAGCAGAATGTTTATACAACTTTATATATTTTATGTAATGTGAGTTTTTAATATGTAAAATGCATATGCCAACTCTTTACTTTTGTATGTATTTCAGACATCTGAAGTATTTTGTTCTCTTTACAGGTCCTGACAGACAGAGTAGAAAATCTGAACAAACAGATACAAAACCTTGATAGCAAAGCCCAGTCCTTACAGTTAACTGTAGACAGACTGTCTCTCACCTTGGCTAAAACTGAAGAGGATGGTATTCAACAGAAAGACAAGGTATATATTACTTCCTTGTAAATTCAGAAAATGGTCTACAGATTTATTGACTATTTCACTGTTAAGGCAGATGTGGTGTCTGAATTTAAAACTATATATATATATGTTTCAATACTTTGCCAAAATGTATTTTACATTGTGCAATTTTTCAAAAATAGAATAATGAATGGGATCTTTTTTCAAACTACAGGTTATGGAAAATTGTCAGTTTTGTAGGGATTATACATGGAAAGAGCACTGTTAATGTGTGAAAAGATAGAAAACTAAATGGTAAAATTTGAAAATGAAATATGAGAAGATTGCTCTTATGATTGATTGATTGTTGGATGCTTAACATCCAATGGCAAATAGTTCATGCATGGTCAGGACGAGTGGCTCTAATTAATATGCTTTCAGAAAATAAAAATAAAATATGGGGTCACTGTATTTGTTTTCTTGCTGCATAAAAAATAAGTAAATTTGCCGTACATTCCTTTATAAATTAAATTATTTGAATTATCCCCCCTGATAAAACAAAGTTTTAAAATTTGAATCAATGAAAATATTTTCTTTTTTGGTAAAAAGAAATAATGTTAACATAAGATAACATCATAAACAAGTATTCCAGGGTAAATGAAAAGTCTAGCAAATAAAAGTACATTTTTGCATCAAATTTGCTAATCTATTGTATAATTGTAAACAGGTACAGTCGTTGAACATGTCCTTATCAGACAACAATGCTGCCCTTAATGAGTTACAGGAGCGTATTCAACAGTTACAGCGGGCACTCACCAGCAGTGAACATGACCGCAGGGTACTACAAGAAAGACTAGATTCAACCAGGTATGTTTGTAATAAACATGTAAAACAATTCTTTTTTTAATTAGAAGTTTTAATGTCAGTTGCTCTTAATTATCCAGCACAAGAGTAAGAAATGCTGTTGACACCTGAAAAATAGAAGATCAAAGCTTAATGTCAGTGAAGTTTTAGAATAAAGTAATTGTAATTATAGATAACTCATGGTCTTGTGTTGGCTGAAAAACTGATCCACACCATGGTTATGGTCGATTAATGTTTTGGTTATTTTAAGTCCAGTGTCATAGAAGTATTCTCCTGATGCTGTAAAATCTGAAAAGATCCTGTACAACAGCTTCATATTCTCAGATGTAAATTAAGTACTTTATGTAATAAAAGATGACTAAAGTAAATTTCTCATAAAGTACTTTATTTTTATGAATGTAAATAAATATGTAAAATAATTTAATCAAAATTATCTTGCCAACTATTTCAGACAAGCTTTGAATGATGCCAAGAAACAAAATTATGACCTTCTGGAACGTGTACAGACATTGCAGAATGACTGTTCTGAAAATGAAGTCAGAAGGGCAGAGGTTGAAGGTCAACTCCGTCAGTCTCATGGTGTAAGTTTTAAAAAAGTGGTGTAGATTTTACTTGATAAAATTGAGCCAAAGTGAACAGAATTTGTAATATTTATTATTATTGACTAAAATTATTTAACATTTCCTCTGATAGTAATGATCATTCCTTTGAAATCAATATTAGGAAATATAGAAATATAATTCTTTAGTTTCACAATGCTGGTTTCAGCAATTTTAAATCAGATTGGACATCTAAAGATAAAAACAAAGTATTTAACTTGAAAAAAAAAGAATTTATCTCTTTAGAGAAATGAATTGTTAAGAATATTTCCTACATTAGCAAGGAGTTATCTCCTTCTAGTAGAATATCATAAAAGTATATTTTTAATACCCCAGTCACATTATCTTAAAGTATCTTCCTTTTGAACTTTATCACTAATACATATGACTTATTTCTATCCTAAGGTGCTGGTAAAGAGGACGGAAACAGAACAAGAACTGAACCAGATTGTACAGAAACTAACCCAGGATAAACAGAACATGCAGGACCATATCTCAAATCTGTCTCGTAATCTGTCCACAGTGGAGACACAGAAAACAGAGATGGAAAGAACATATATCAGGCTGGAGAAAGATAAATCTGCTCTCAGGAAAACTTTAGATAAGGTCAGTAATATAGCAAAGAGACGGATAAATCTGCTCTCAAGAAAACATTTGATTTACTTGAACCAATGGTTTATGAATTAGGTAATATCTTGGGGATCTCTGCTAATAAACCTAGGTATGAACCTTTATGACTGACTGTTTAACAGTTTTTGCCATTGTTTTGTCTGTATAGTATTGATTAACGTTTTATAATTGCTCTGTTGAATTTTTTTTATTTCATATTAGTGAGCATTTAATTTTGGTTAAATGTTTTCTATCTCTTGCAGCATTTTCAATTTTTAAAATTTGAAATGTTTTTAGGTTGAACGTGAAAAACTAAAGACAGAAGAGATAGCTAACACTTCTTTGATGGAAAAGGGCTCCTTAGATAGATCATTGGCTCGCCTTGACGAAGATAACTGTGATCTGAATAAACAAGTACAACAGCTCCAGGCACAGTTAGCAGAGGCTGAGCAACAACATGCTCAGAGGTAAGGATTTCATCTAATAAGTTATGGTTCAGTTAGCGGATTCTCAGCAACGTTATTTTTAAACAGTTAATTTATTTACGTATATGCAAAGGCACCTATATTAAAAATGAATAATCTGTAAGGAGTGAAATGTTGCTTTTTATGCTATAGAAGGAAATTTTTCATTTAAGAAGTATTGCATTGAAAAATAAATCTGTAACTTTTTCCATTTCAAAAAAATAGCAGAACATTCATTATATGTTTCCTTTACATGTATTTGTAATTCCAGAATTATATGGCATTTTTTCCAAAATATATGTGATGATAAATACATTGAAATAATTTTTCAATTTTAGATTGATAGATGTTACCACAAGACATAGAGCTGAAACAGAGATGGAGACAGAGAGACTCCGAACAGCTCAGATGCAAGCTGAAAGAATGCTAGAAACAAGAGAGAGATCAAATAGAACTAAAATCAAGGGTCTTGAAGAAACAGTATGTACTTGTTTTTATTAATGGAAAAGGGTCAATGGGAAAAATACTTGATCCCTATTTCATTTATATCAGAACCTAGGATAAAAGTACTGTAAATGAATGTAAAAATAACATTGTACTGTTGAGAACCATAAAAGGCATTACAATTTAAGAAAGTCTATAAGATGGTTTTGACCTCAAGAAAATAAATAAGTATTTATTTTGCTTTGAAGTAATGTGACATTTAATATTCATGTTCAGAAAAAGGTTTTCGTTCTTTTGTTGTTGAACCAATCAGTTAATCTGTCACCTGGCCTATATATTAAGATTGTCCTTTACTGTTTTAAACATTTCATTGTTGTAGGTATTTTTATTATACTAAAAATGCTTCAAAGGGAAGCCAGTCGAAGTGGTAGGGGTGTGCCCTAAAAGTGTTGTCCAAATTAGGAAGAAACATTATACAAACTGTACACTGACATTGTACTTACATTCATGTTACACATATTTTTTAATTTACTACCTACATGTACATACATTTGTAATTTTTTCATTTCATTCATACATTGGTAACCAGGAACAACAAAGACAATGGAGTAAACACATTATGACGTTAAAATTTAGATACCATTTTTTTATACTTCAGGGATTGTAATTTCTATATAATTTGTCCTGAAGACGCCGATCTAATAAGCGAAACTAGTCGACACAATAAAACTTGCAGTTCACTAAAGTGTTGTTGTCAATCCAGCGGTATTTTAAAAATATTCATGTTAATTTTAGATTGCCACATTGAAAGACCAACTGTCAACAGAAATGAAGAAACGTCAGCTTTATATTTCACGTAGTGCCCGTACAGGTGATGAAATCCGGGATATCCGTTCCATACTGGACTCTTCATTATCAAATGTCACAAGGGACCAGTCTCTTGATCCACTCATCATGGAGACAGAAACCAGGAAACTAGATGACTCCTTGGAATTGCGTGGTAGTTACAGAATACCACAACCAAGACGAAGAACAAGTCCAAATCGTTCACCAATGAAATATTCTGATAGGTTGACATCAACACCTGCAATGCGTCGAACCCAGAGTCCCATAGCACTGCGTAAAAAACTGTTGAAATAAACTGCCAAGCCTTTGTATGAGAGATCATGTGACAATTATTTATAGCAATTTTGTGTGTTTGTGAAGGTCATTCCTGTTTATTTTAGACATTCCAAGTGCATATTTATGAAGTCTACCAGCATTAAAACCTTGATTCAAGAGACAGAAGCTATTTTTTTTTATGATTTTTAAAGTTTTAAGTACTGACAACATTTAAAAAAAATAATAGAAATCTTTTATTTAAAACTTTCGTCCAGTATATTTTTTATGAAAAAGAAAAGATTTGGAAAAGGTTAATGAAATACATAACTGATTAGAATTACACTGAAATGTTTTGAGCTCTTATTAATATAAAGTTTCTGCTTTAAGTTTGAGCATGGTTTTCTTTCTCTTGAGTCAAGGGATATTTTTACAATGGCAGCACAAGTTTTAAAGCCATTTATTGCATGAAATCAAATTAATTTTTCTGTATCCTAGGTTGTGAGTAGTTCATTACACATTTTAAACAAATATTAATATATTTATAATGTCACATTTTTTTTAGAATTTAGATTTTGTTTTTGTTGAGGGTTGTGTTGTCATGGCAGCTTGAGGATGTTGGAACACACGACAGTTGTCAGCTGTCATGGTTCTAGCCAATCATTTTGCCAGATTTTATGATGTAATCAGTATTACCAGTGATCACCTCAATCATAGATTTATATTTATAGACAGAGAAAAAATTCAACACTCAGCACACATCCAGTGGCCCAAAGGCATCTAATGACTGATTGTTCCAAGAAACAGTAAAAAGAAATGTCACTTGCCTTTTTTATGTGTTATGTTGAATAAAAGTAAAACACAAAATTATATATTTTTACCAAGTATGAATTCATTTATACTGCTGATGCAAGAACTTGTAAATGTTTTCAAAGTTAGCGAAATGAATGAATGCTATTTTCTTTACATCTACTGTGAAAATCATACTATCTGAGTTACTGGTGTCAAGAACAATTTATGATTGGGAGGAAAGTAGGATAATTGCATCATTTCTATTTATAAACATTTTTTATCAAAATATCTGTGATAAATGTTAAAAAGTATGCACCATAGTTTGAATAAATTATTGTATTATTTGTTTGATTAGATTGAATAAGTGTATTTATAGATATTTGAATAAGGTCAGAAATTTGTTGAGAAGCCATTTAACGGAGCACCAAACGTTTTTAAAGAAAGGTTTTGATAAATTGAGAAAAAAAATTGTTTTCCGTACAGGGTCAGTGTGGATGGATCTTTTGAATTTCCAAAATTGCATACGATAGATTCAGACAGAGTTAAAAATCCTGACCAGATGTGATTTTTATGGAAAACATTCTGATGTTACTGAAAGTGTATTCATCCAAGTTGCTTCTCGATGATTTATGATTATTATTCTAATAGAATATTGTTGTTTTAAAAATTGCTAGAATTTAATTTAGCTGTCATAGCCCCAGCAACGAGTGGATAAATTAGAGACACTTTAGTTACGGTTTTGCTTTCTAAGGGAGATAATCTATTATTGTTTTGTTGATGCCTTTTAGTTATCATTTGTGTTAATTTTTAATTTCATTCTATTTTTACATTTTTGGTCATTCTATTTTATGTTTAGGGAAGATACAGTGAAACATTACTTCTAAGTGCTAATGATTTAAATATTTTAATATCAGCAATATTTGGCACTTATTTTATATCAATTATAATCAGTTGACCTCAATTTTCAGCATATAATAGTCGAGTCATGCCTTCCCTAATACATAATAGAATGATCCATCAGGCATTGAAGATCTGTGATGAAAACTGTTATCCGTCCATTTTTAAGTTTTTGTTTTAATTTAGTCAAAAGATTCGTTATTTACAACATTGTTTGACGTTTTTTTGCTACTAGATATATTTATATAAAATCTCTAGTTTTACAATATAATCTTCACGATGTGTCTCATTACTGAGCTTTTCCTCACAAGTGTTGACTCATTACTGAGCTTGTTTCTCACAAAGAAGTGATCAGAAATAAAAAGTGTGCATGCAATTCAGTCTTTTCTTTTTTATTCCCCCTGCCGTATTTGAGGGGGCATAAAGTTTTACCCTTGTCCGTCTGTACAACCGTACGTCCCAAAATTGGTTTCCGTTCTCAAACTTTAGTTTGCCTCAACCAAATGTTATGAAACTTATTTACAATACTTATTACCACAAAACACAGATCAAGTTTGAATTTTGGTGGCGTCACTTTTGCTGTTCTAGAGTTATGCCCCTTTACAAATGGAAAAATTGCTGAAATTTTCGTTTCCATTCTATAACTTAGTTTGCCTCAACCAAATGTTATGAAACTTATACACAATGCTAATTATCACAAAACACAGATCAAGTTTGAATTTTGGTTGCGTCACGTTTACTGTTCTAGAGATATGCCCCTTTAGAAATGGAAAAATTGCTGAATTTTTTGTTTCCGTTCTCTAACTTAAGTTTGCCCCTACGAAATGTTATGAAACTGATAAACAATGCTTATTATCACAAAACTCAGATCAAGTACAAATTTGGGAAGCGTCACTTTTACAGTTTTTGAGTTATGTCCCTTTATAACGTTATATGCAAGCAGGGGCATCATCTGTGTCCGATGGACACATTCCCCATTTATTTCAGTATGAAGTTTATAAGGTCCTTAAATTAAAGTTATGAAAGTCATAGGGTAGACATATGTACTGCATAAGAAGTCTGCATTTCCACAGTGTGACCTTTACAGAATCAACAGCTGCTAAAGATTGTGATAGGATCAGTTAAACAGAAGTTACTTATGATAACTTGATTACATTTCATACACATAAGAATACGGAAATATTTAGGGTGTATATCAATGAGACAATAACCAAGAAAAGTAATAAATCCAAAAGACATCTTGAGGTCAACACATGATCATCAATAGACAAATGTCTGTAAAATATGACAAGCTCTTAATTACCTTGATTCAAGAAAACTGATAAAAAAATATAACAGAGACTGTTAAAGACCTGCCATCAACACCAAAGTTCTTAATGGATAAAATGTAAGAAATATTTAAAGGCAACCTCTGACCAGATTGCAGTTTCCAATAAGATTATTTATCTAAAACATGTTGTTTATGATCCTTTAAATTTATTGCTCTGTTTTAATTTTAGGGGCTAGTGATTAAGTCAGTTTAACTAAAATAACTTATGAATGGTTAATAATATATAGTATACAGCTGCAACAACATTTGAACATTTCATTTCATTACAGTGGAGATTGTAAAGCATTACAGAAATTCTTCTCTTTGTTTTGGATCATCAACTTTTTAAGTATTTGCATATTTTACATGGAAAAAAAGTTTAAAGAATTTTCAACGATATAGGCTTTTGATGACATAGGGCTGCTTTAAGGCTCATTCAATAACTGATATATTTATTCACTTTATTTGCTATCGATCAGATTTCATGTTTCAATTTTACTGCAAGCAGACAAATTATATAGCCATGTGTTAATAGTTTATGAATATATGAATAGACTTGATAATAGGAAGAGTATTCCATGCTATTGTGTACACAAGATCAGAAAATACGATGCTTTTAAATTATCCATTATACACAGAAATTGGATGTATTTATGAATTAAAGGAGATATGGGGTACCTGTCAATGAGACTGTAATAAACAGTCAATGATTAGTTAATAATGTGCTAAAAGAGATAACAGGAATCCCCAAAACTACAATAAAATAAACCACATTAACCTCCAATACCTTTGTCCAAAATTAACAGTTGGTACTTTGTGTCTTTTGTATTTATGTTTTTGTGCTTCTAGCTGATGAGACGAGAAGTTTTCAAATAACTTTTACAAAGTGTTTTTTATACTTCCTTTTACGGGGACGTATCATGGTATACCGTTGTCCGTCTGCCCGTCAGTCTGTCCGTCTGTCTGTCAGTCCGTTGTCAACATGTCCGACAATAATTCAAAAACGCTTTCACCAATTTGCAAGAAACTTTGGTGAATTGTTTATATCTATTTATGTAAGCTCCCTTTCGATTTTTAAAAATTTTAGATTTTAAGTTTCTGAGGTATTGGATTTTATTCATAAAAAAGGGGGATTTTCCAGTTTTCGGACAATAACTTAAAAGTGCTTTGAGCAGTTTTCATGAAACTTTGGTGACTGGTGTTTATCTATAAAAATGACCTCCCTTTAGATTTTTATTAATTTCTGATATGACATTGAGAAGTTATGAATTTTATACTTAAAAAAAGCGACGGGCGTATCATGCGCTCATGGCGCATCTTTTTATTAAGTTGTGCTGTTACACCATTGTCCCAGATTAGGGGAAAGGTTGAGTTCCCACAAAAATGTTCAACTACCGCCACATATATGTGCCTGTCTATAACATTGATTGAAAAAAAAATTAAACATCACAAAATAAATATTGCTATACAGTTTTGAACACTTATTGTCCTACATTCTGTCAATACAATGTACTTGTATTTTGACACAAGGTCATGCTTTTCTCAGCCAGCTGTGTATGACGTTTTTACACGAAATCCTTTGGAAGCAAACTGATAGTAATTCGACATATTTTGTAATTTGAATAAGGAGATGTGTAAAGAACAAGACATTGATAATTTGTGTAGTTCCCGCGAGTTTGCAGCAAAAACGCATGCAGGAGACAGACTAATTTGCATGTAAATGTTTGCTGTCTACACTATCATTAGCATGGTAAAATGTTTGCGGCAATCATGCAACACATTTACAGCAAACATGCAGCAAATATAGATTCTATCTAAAATTATTCTAGAACCTTTCTGCAAGCTTGATGCAAGATAGAGGCAGATGCTACCAAATGGATACTAAATCCCAGAAGTCGTAGAAAAAAAATTGTTTACAAAGATTGAATGATATAAGATTATATACTCAGGCTGCTAAAAAAACCCCATCACATTGAAATTCTTTTTCTCATTTTCGCCAAAACACAGATAACATGTAATCGGAGACTAATGAAGACAACGATGTAATGTACAAATATAGATATATGGCGACGTGGTATGATTGACAATAAAACATCTATCCACCAAAAATATATTCAAAAACAAGTATGTAAATACATGTCACTACAAGTCACCGTACGACCGACCTTCAACAGCGAAAAAAACTCATACTAACTAGAAAGCTAAATTACGAAACTATTCTAAAGAAACAGTTAACCGAATGATCTTATCTTAGCAAAAAAAAAAATGCTATGAAAAATAAAGAAAGGTTATCCATCAATTTGTCCAGTAAATAATTTCCTGGTTATCATATATCCTTGGCATGATTTACTAGTTTCGGGTCTTTTCATTTCTTTCAATGACAATTGTCCAAAAAAACTCTTGTTACCAGATAACTTCCCTGTAAAGAGAAAGGTATCTGGACCAAGTGTATTCGTTGTTAGTTGTCTTTGTGTGTGTTGATGAATGGTGTGGTCTGTTGTCATCGTATATTATATTTTAAAGAAATTTTAAATATAGAAAACAGTCCCTGGAATTCTATAATCTGAATATAAATTTCAGTTGTGTGTTTTTTTCATGTCAATTAAAGCTAAAGCAAGCTAACATTTTAAAAGTAACCGAGATTGGAGTTAAAGTTGTTAACCAACATTCAGATGGAATATGAATATTTGATGTTAAATTTCTCCATGTTGAGATATTTGATAAATACTAAATTGTCATCATGAAAATTATCACAGTTTTGGAATGGAACAATGAAATAATTGTCAGTCTAGTACCAAACATGTTTGTGCTCTCTCTCTATCTTTTAGTTGGAATATGCGGAAACGTTCTTTTTTTATTGGTGTACGCATTTCTGATGAAAAACTCGTAGGATAAAAGATACTTCATACCAATTTTAGCTGCTTGTGATTTGATAGCTACTTTGTATCTTGGATCGGCGGCAATATACAATTCGATACACCAAGTCACATACTCAAACTCTGTATTATGTAAAATATCATCGTTCTTTTATGTCTTGGCCACCTACATTCCGATATGTGTATTACTTATTATAGCATTTCAACGATACTTTAAAATATGCATGAATCTGAATCATTCTAAGACACTTTTCTTTAATAGAGTGTCATTAGTGTTGGCAAATTTGTGTTCAGTTTTGGTTGCAATACCATTACCATTTGTTTCCGAATTAATTCCCGTTCACAGTTCTAAATACAGAATTATAGGATTGCGATGTGAATGGTCACGTAAAGATGATAGTTTTGCAAGAAACGTATACTTTATTGTGGTTGGTTTGTTTGCTGTTGTCACAGTAACAACATGTATTGTTTTATATTCAAGAATTGCATATACAGTCTTTGACCGTTTAAAAAAAAGAAAACATCAGAATAGTAAAAAAGGAAAAGATGCCGACGTAGAGGGAAAAAGTATAGAACATAACATTGCCGATAATTACAAAGAAAATCAAGAAGATTCAACTGTGAACGATTTTCCGATGAACTCGCATAAATCTAAGAGCGATAAAAATACCACAAAGCAATTATTTCTAAACAAACTGAATCTGCAAAGCGACGAAGAAAAAACCGTGGCATTACGTATAAAATGGCTATCATGTTTTTTGTTATTACCTTGGTATTTTTTGTTTGTTATACACCGAAAATAATAATGATAATTATTTCTGGAATCGACAAAGATTTTGTGGAAAAACTTTCCACTTTACAAAGATCGGTTATGTTATTTGTTTATGATATGCAGATCATTAATAACATTGTGAATCCTTTTATCTATGCTTTCATGGACACAAGGTTTCGTAAAGACACCATGATAATGTAAAACCGTGTGTTTAAATGTTACTAATATTGTACGGAGGATCTTATTCATTTCCGATCTACATCAAACTGATGTATGTCTTGGGACTCTACCGAAAAGGAAGCAAAATTTTGAGCGCATGTCAGGTTTTTTTTCCGTGCAAGTCGTGCACTGCGTGTGGTTCCTTAACATGAGGGATTTGTTGATCGTCCTGTGACTGCAGGGGAGGAATCAGACGGGGG